CGAAGCTACAATTTTGTTTACCTAATCAACAAAGTGTAGCAGGTATTTTTGAATTTTATATTGGTATTAAAAAATTCATTATATAATTGAGACATATCAACGTGAAACATATGTATATGGAGGATAATAAATACTAATATAAAACAGGATCTTGTCTCGATATTTGCTATGAATTATTGTGAATATTTTATGTCCACTAGCTTGGTACATGATTCATGAATTCATGGTCACCAACTCAAACGTTTATTATGTTATATTATAAATATAATATAATACTATAAAGATATCTACCCCTATTTTGTTATTTGAAATTTATATAAAAAAAATATTATAATAACTAACTTCAAGTTAAAAATATAATAATAATTGAGTTAATTATGATCAAATATTAAGAATTTTTTAAGACATCTACACATGATTTAAATAAAAAAATTACTAAATTCATATGAATCGATAACAAATCCTCTAAATCCGCACATGTTTGTTATTCAATAGAAAACTACACATCCTACATAAAGTAAAAGCTTTGATAAGTCGGCTAACTTGCTCATATTGTGATAGGGCTCAATCACTCCCTTTCTTCCCGACCTCTGGAAATCAAAATTATAGGGAGATGTGCTTCGGTCTTTCCACGATAGAAGCAGTAGGTATATAACGCATGCAACTAGTAGGTGATAGGAGGATGTAAGTCTTATTCTTTATTGTTGTCAAGCTGCACTTCATGAATGTGCCCTATGTTGTTGAAAGCCTAACTCATCCTCATCCATCCTAGTTAGCAGTTCAAGCTCCGTATCAAGGTCACTATCATCAATATCAATCTCATCAAGAAGAAAACCTGGTGATGTATTCGATCGATACATCGCGTAAGTGATGTATCCGAAAATAAGAAGAGTAGAGATTTTTGTAATTTTTTCAGATGGTAGAGAATCATATATAAAAGAGAACACTAGGCCCGCCTACGTGGTGCCACCACAAATCAGGATTCCCCTTTAATTTATTTATTTCCAAAATTAGTTTTCCCCTTTCATGAAAACTTGTGACTTTACTTTTATGAAGAGTTGCGGCTTTTATGAAAAGTTGTGACTTTTACGAAAGGTTATGACCTTCCGAAGGATTGTAACTTTTTCAAAGAATTGTGACCTCTCGGATAAGGCACAATAAGCATTTGTTCACACTACTCTTTGTTGTCTATAAATAGAGGAATTTCCTCTCATTTTTCAAACACCACAAATTTTGAACTTCTTCTCCACAAAGACATAGATAACACACAATAAATTAATTGCTCATATTCAATATGAAGTATGAACAGATTCTCAAGTTTACTGCAAGTTGTAAATACTTTTCTTGAAGTAATAAATGTGTTTCTCGACATTGCGATTGAAAACGAAGTGTAGTTTCAAATTGAACTTCATCACTCTGGTATGTTGATTTTTTTTTAAAAAAACATTCAAACACACTGAATAGTTTTGTGTAATATTGCTTTAAAAAAAAGTTTTGTGTAATATTTTTCCCTTTCAAGTATATATAATAAGTTTAATTGTTGTCCAATATGATTCATTCTCCCTTTAGTTTTTCATTTTAATAATTACTTATGATACATTTAAATGGGAAACTTTAAAATAATATATGTAAAGCAAAAGTTAGGGTTGAACTTTCTACACGTTAGAATTAGAATATTTGTTCACTTTTTTCAGCCTTTTAAAATTTATTTATCCCTTCACCAATGATTATTTACTTATTAGAAAATTTAATATCTTAGGTTGATGTTCATTTGATTCCCCAAAAATATCAAATAATAACACTTTCTAGAAGCAAAAGGATAAATTATAAAATCAAATTAAAGATGATTGGTTGAAGGGTAAATGATAAGATGTTATAATTATCATTTTCCTTTACATTATTAATGTTCGTTACTACCTAATCTTGTATGTAAGATAATATAGTGTTTTAGTTTTAATAGCTGATGAATTTTAAGTATTATTTTATAAATTTTGTGATATTAAATTTCCGCACGAGGCACGAGTAATTTTACTAGCTCTAGAGAATATGGTTAAATAAATTATTGTGTATTTAAATAATTTTTTCCATAAAAAATGGAGGTTAATTTTGTACCATTAATAATATATTTTATACAACCTTCATAACATTGGTAAGTTCAAATATATTTAAGTATAGATATTTTTTAAATGATATTTCTTTACTTGATCTTTAGTTGTCGCTCACTATAATCAACCAATTTGCTATCTATATTTATTCCCACATAGTATTAATCGTTACGAGATTGTATAGTACTATTTAACTAAAAATACTACGTTGTTCTAGAAGAATTCATTTTTTTTTTATAAAAATAGATTGTTAACTACCACGACTTAAATCATTCGCTGTTGAAATTTCTCATGAAGCAGATATTTTTTATTTATTAATTATAGTTTAAATATTTTTCAGAAAATGCGGAAGATTATATATATATTATGATGACAAGAAAAACCTTTTTTTTTTTTCCTGTATCCACAATGGCATACGTATATGTTATAACTTATAAGTAGGTTTAGGGGGGAAAACAAGTTAATGAACTAATTAACACCTCTTATAAATGAACTTGAGTTTAAAGATCGATTCAGAATTTGAATTTAAATGACTAGACACTACTCGTAACAATGAGTCACTTGTGCTTTAGCGAATAAAGTCATTTTAAAATAAATAAAATACAGTACCTGCTCCGTTTCATTTTATGTGACGTAGTTTGACTCAGCACGGAGTTTAAGAAAGAAAATAAGACTTTTAAAATTTGTGGTCTAAAATGAATGATAGAAATTTGTGTGGCTATAAATCATTTCATTAAGGATAAAATGAACATTTTAAAGTTAAACTATTAATTAATATAGATATGTATCATTATTTTTGGCACGGACTAAAAAGAAAAGTAAGTCATATAAATTAGGACGAAGAGAATAGTAATTTTTTTTTATATTTTTATATTATTGATCACAGTTCACATTTATAGAACTAAATTTGAATTTTTGGTGAAGTATGCAAGGCCCTTTGTGTGCGTGTGTATATATATAATTTCAAAGACCTCTCTTAGGTTTGACTTCATTTCACTGATCTCTCTTATGGTTTTTGATATTATGATGAATGATAGAGTCTCATGCTTTGATAAAAATTTGAAATTATTTGCTATCCGGTACAAATTTAGGATATTTTTAAGGTAGTTAATAGTTTGGGATGAAATTGATAATTCATATCAAGTTCACGTGTGTTTTCAATAGAGAAAATGCTTAAAATAGTCCATTATATTTGAGTTTAGACTCAAAATAATCCTAATTCTTTTTAGTGGAGCATTAATAATCCCGATTCTTTAATAAAGTAGTGCATTTTCAGTCTTTATCCTAACCACCGTAAGTTTTTTTAACAGAGCAATAGATTGTGCATGAGACTTCTTCTCCCGAGTAATCTAACTCTTCAATAACATTCTCTTCCAAAAATTATCATATAGTCTATGTTTCTCTCAACATAATGCTTTTCTGGAGTACGTTTCGTAACTCTTCCATGGTGTATTTTGATACAGAAAAAGGATGTATCTACCATCGATTCTAAAATAGCAAAAAATACATTCTAATCAACACAAATAATACATTTACAACATGATATTAATATTAAAGCAAATAACAAAAAATATAAATTTCAGGGGAATTGATTAAGACATTAAGTCATAAAACTTCTAAAATATTAACAAAGTTACAAAGCGACATCTTTATATATATTCATAAACATACGTGCTTCTTGTATTGATTATTTTTTTTTGCGATAGTGGGATTTGATTAAAAAATTAAAAAAAAAATTGTACTTACCATATATTGGAGGTGATTCTTTGTCATCGTTGCTCCTTAAAAACATTATAACTTCTAAACTTTGATTATGTTATTGAAGAAAGTATAATGCAAGTTTCAGATTTTAGGATTATTTGGAGATTAGAGATAAAGAGGGAAAAAAACTAAGAAAGAAGTCTCTAATGTTTCAAAAGGAGAAGCCCAAACAACATTACAATAGCAAGAGTATTTAAGTTTGGAGGGAAACATATGAGGAGCACGTGCACAATCTACTGCTCTGTTAAAAGACTCACGGTAATTAGCAGGGAGTAAGGGTGTGTAAAAATCGAAATGATCGATAAATCGAATCGATAAAAGTGTTATTAAGTTATTGGGTTAATGATTTTTTAATGGTTTTATAAAAAAAATTATTGGGTTATCGGTTCGGTATTGGTTTTTAATATTTGGTTAACTCATTAAGACTAGTAATGTACTACTTTTACTTGTACATAAATATTATATATTAATCTCAATACCTTAGTAGTCACTATCTTTGTCCTTTAGCATTTAATTCACACTTCACAATAACTTTGAGTTCACAATTTCACATTATAAAAAACGTTAAAATCTAAAGTAAGAATCTCATTCCTCTTAATTTCTCTTTGTGTTACGCTTGTATAGTTCTTTTCATGTGTTGTTATTATTGTTTCTATTTTATGAGCATTTGTAAAGTTATATATGTTTTTGCATCAAATTTATTAGAAAAGTCATATATTTATTTTATAAGTATTTTTTTATTGGTTAAACCGAACCGAACCGTTAAGGACCAAAACCTATAAACCAAAAACCGATAAAAAATATCTTATTGGTTTAGTTATTGGTTTAACATATTTAAAAACCGAAAACCGATAAATCGAACAGATAATACATAAAACCGAATTGACCGATGCACATCACTAGCAGGGAGACTGAAAATGCACTACTTAAAGAATCAGGATTATTAATGTTTCACTAAAAATAAAAAGGACTATTTTGAGTCTAAACTAAAAGATAATGGACTATTTTATGCCTTTTTCTCTTTTCAATACTTCTTTCGGAAAAAAAGAAAAAAAAAAGAGAATTCCGGTTCGGCCGGCCTAGCAAATAAGATTCCCCGGTTCAGTGAAGGGTTTTGTAAAACCCTATAAACCAAAACTTTGAGAATTGTTAGAGAAACAATGGCGATCTCAACTAGACGAGCATTAGCAGCTTACCGCAACATCTATGGTGCATTACGGGCTACCAATTTCACTGCAAATCGTTTTTCCTCTTTGATAGGCTCCACTTTTAGTCCAATTCGCTATGAAATTGTTCCCTGTTCGCTGGAGCAGACCACCAATTTTCTGCTTGAAAGTCGGAGGAGTTTTGCTAAAGGAAGGAAACAAATTAGTACTGATTCTATATCCCTTTCTTCTTAATCCTCCAATTTATGTGTATAGATTAATGCATGTTCTTTTTGATTTGTTGAAAATGTGTTTACATTTCTAGCACTTAAGGTGTCTGGTTAATGAAGTAAGTTGAGAATCGTGAGGTTTAAGATTCAAATTTGATTTTAACAGAGACATAAACACTTGGTGATTTCTTTCCATCTGTCTCGGCCTTGGTGGCGAAGTTATATGGTACTTGTTGCTGTTGGAGGTGGCAAGTATCCATGGAATTAGTCCGAGGTGTGCGTAAGCTGGCCCAAACACCACAATTAGATAAAAAAAACGAGTTTACATCTCTAACTCACCAAACTAATTGCTTAGTAAAGAAGAAGCAAGGTTTCATAATTTTGTATATGAAAAAAGAGTTCAAGTAATTGTATATATACACAATCGGGTCATTTATAAGTATTTATAGGTAACTGAAAATAACGATATGATAAGCATTAATCAATAATATGTTAAAACAGGGGTAATTAACAAGCAAGGGGTTTGGCTTCCGGGTCGAGCTCGTGCACCGGGCTTGCCTAGTGCAGGTTACCTCTCCTGAGTGGTTTACTATTGGATAGGAGCGGAGGTTTTACCTTGTGCGCACTCAAAGGGTAGCGGCTGCGGGTTTCCCTTGTCATAAAAAAAAGAAGAAGAAGGGGTAATTAACCTACTATCTATATAACTTAAATCCTTTGAAAAATGAGTTTGGCTTGTATACATTACACCGATGGTGTAAAGAATCTTTTAAACTATGAGGCCAATCAAAGAATGTCATGAAAAGTGTGATTTGTAATCTTGAATTACCAGAATAGGAAAGGTTACCTGATAGTATAAGAATTCTTTTTACCATCAGTGGAATTAGTCAAACTCATAATATATGTAGAATACATTACAACTACTTAAATGGTTGGGCACACTTTTAATTTCCATTAATATCATGTGTGAGTTTTCTCTTGTTTAGGTTTGTTGCTCTTCATCTGGGTTATTGTTATAATTTGTAATGATGGAACCTTTCTATTTTTGGTATAAGTTTGGAGGAAATATAATATCGATTGACGATTGAATGTTCTTTGTATAAATCATCTCTTTTGAGTCAACATGCTTGAAGTTTCTGACCTCTTTAAATCTGTTGTTTGATGAATTTGTAGGGGATGAGGTAGATGGCGATGATTATGGAAGTGTAACCACAGCTGTAAATGTAGGTCCTAACATTAAAGCTACTGCAGTCTCACAGATGGAGGCAGCAATTGATGCATTATCACGAGAATTGACCAAGCTGCGAACTGGAAGAGCATCGGCTGGTACATGATATCAACTTCTGTTGTAATACAAGTTACCTTGTGTGCCTTCGATTGTACTCATTCGTTTAGCTTCTTTGATTCACAGGGATGCTTGATCATATCATTGTTGATTCAGGAGGTGTTAAGACACCTCTTTGCAGGATGGCTGTCATTTCAGTGCTAGACCCAAAAACCTTGTCAGTGAATCCTTATGATCCAGATGTAATATTATACACTTAAACTCATATGCATATACTGTCTGATTTTCGATATTTTTTCCATTTGTATTCGTCTTACTTGATTAATGGAACATTTCTTTATATTTATTCTGAGTGCAAAGAAATTGAACTGAAGAGTACTTTTGATAAATATGCACCATGATTAACTGTGATTGTCTTTTGCAGTCCCTCAAAGAGTTGGAGAAAGCCATTATTTCATCTCCATTGGGGTTAAATCCTCAATCCGACAACCAGAGATTAATTGTACCAATACCTCCGTAAGTATCCATTTGAAAGAGTTAATTCTTTGTCATAAAAAAATATCCATTTGAAAGAGTAAAATAGTCTCTTCTTGTTTTTGGATCCATGATCCATCTATTAGTCAGGTGACTATGTCGAAAATAGAAGCAAAAACTTAATTTTGATCTCGACTTGATAGTATTACTATAACTTTCATGTTGCCAGTATTTACTTGTAGAATGGCTTGAAGTACATTGTGTTGATGTAGAAAAAACATCATTATAACACTTCTTCAAAATAATCATTCTTCCCAGGGATATAACTACTTCAGGCAATTAATTGTTATGCTACTTTGCTATTTGCATAAGCAACATTTTTGTGATATTCAATGTGCAGTAAGAACTTTATGTCCTTAAAGATTTTCAGTGCTTTTTGACTCACTCTTTCTTCTTTTCCTGGCAATCCGTGCAACAAGCAGGTTGACTAAGGAGCATGTGCAGGTGATCCTTGTCAATTTCACTTCTTTTTAAATGTTTCTGTTGCTGATATTGTCATCCTCTTTACTAGGCTGTGTGCAAAGTGGTTGCGAAATCATCTGAAGATGTTAAGCAAAGTATAAGACGAGCGCGCCAGAAGGTACACCGTTGACCAAACACCTCTTTGTATATCTCCTTTTCCCCTTTTTACATCCATAAACAAGGCTAAAAGCAAAATAAAGGAGCCCTAACAGCAGAAAAGTGCTCATTTCATCCTATCAAAATATAAAACCCCAAAAGCTTATATATAAGGAATAAGGGGAAACAGAAGACCTTAAAAGTGGATCAGCATTGGAAGAAAAGACAGGGTGATTGGACGATGGATGGGATCACATCCATGTCATCCAAAAGGGTAAAATAACTGACATACATAAGGGTGGGGGGCAAAGGAGAGAGAATGGATAAATACGTAAGGATTTTGGGTAGCTCTTTTAGGTTGAAAACTAACATATGATGAGATTAGTATAGTAGTTGCACATATATTTTATAAAACTTGCTGATTGCGACTGACCAGAAATATGGTTCTAGCCAGCTCAAGCTCATTAAAAGCTGGGAAAGAGTCAGGCCCTAGATATTCATGATTTGTGCTGTATTCTGTGCAGCCCTAAATGTGAGTCGTTTGTTCAAATGCTGCTCTACAGTATACACTAGACAATTGCATTTGGCTATTACTGAAGTCCTGGATGACGACCACTAAATTCTCATAAGAATTCAGTTAAGTAGTGCTCTTGAAATTGAGGGACATGTTGTGCACTTTCTATATTTACGTCTTTTTGACTTCCAAGAGCATAAAAGATTCAAATCTGCATTGGCGATTCATGTAGCTCACCTCAACTCAACTTGTTTTTGATAGAGGTGTAGCAGTACTAGTAGTTGTTGTCGTCGTCTTTGTAGAGCAACTAAATTGATAAGTAATTAAGGAGCCAAAAATCGAATTTCTCTTACTAATCCTAAAAAAGGGAACCAATATTTATTAGTGATAAGGAACCAACGAGCTGAAGAAAAGCTTAGGCATGATGGTTGTGTGTGTGCAACATCAAAATGAAGTTGGAGGTATGTTGGACTTGGTTATTGCTGGGTAACAAAGACCTGACTTTCTGTTTCAGGTATGTTAATGTGATTTGGGTGTGGAGAGCTTGAAAAGTAAATGGCTACTAAGGGTAGTGCTTTAGAGGGGTTATATTTTGTAGTACTGTAGTTGAATTCTGGTAGTATCTGGTTGCAGCAATGTCTAGGGAAAGGTGCTTTAGAGGATATTCTTGTAAAAATAAGGTTTAATGGCCAAACTACAGGAACAAGAGAGAAGGAATATTGGCATTGCGAGAGGCTTAACATTCTAGTTCCTTTTTAGTTAGAGAAGTGAAGGAGGAAAACAAAAATATCTAAGAGAGAAAACGTGAGAAGTTCCAACTTTGGAGATGCTAAATGAATGATCACTTGGTTCATTAACCTTCAACCCAGTTTGGCCACCAACAAGAGGTTACTGTAGTTTTCAGTATGCTGTCCTCTATTAGCAAATTAATGGAGCTCTTCCAGTAGTTTCTTGTTTGGAGTTGAGGGAAACATCTTTGTTCAAAAGTTGTGTGTGTTATGCTTATATGATGTCCACGATACTCTCCTCGCATGACTTGGGCTGTACTGAAGAAGACGTGGTCAATTACCTTTTTTGTCACCTATCATTTATGAGGTCGAACATTTATATTCCATTTTCTCCATGCAAGACAGCTGCACGACCGGTAGTATTGCTCCTAGATTCATTGGTGAACTCAATCCCCACCTCCCAAATAAACAGAAGTAAAGAATGGGATAAATGATGTTGAGCTGATGAAAACAGTCATGCATGTAGATTTTGCTTGGATATAACCAAAGAATTTATGTGAAGTACAGATGTCTTCATGTCGATACTACAAGATGTTAATTCCCTTTTTATCAGGCTTTGGACATGATAAAGAAATCTGTGCCCAAGAAGAAAGACAAAGACAAGTCAGCTTCAGCTTTCTCAGAAGACGATGCAAAAAGACTAGAGAAGGAAGTACGTTATATTTACTTGTTTGCTGAAAAAATTGCTATGGGCTGTATAATTTATATTCTATTCTCTACTGCCTCTTTCATTTGGTTTTGTGCTTGTTTCTTTCAGATTGATGACTTGACTAAAAAGTTTATTAAGTCAGCAGAAGATATGTGCAAGTCAAAGGATAAAGAAATAACTAGCAGTTGAAGAAACTAATTTTCGTTTCAACGGAGGCTCATGCAAAGGTTCAATTTTTTGGCTGAAGCTATAGAGGGAACTATTTACGCTCCAGAATTCTTGTACTCGAAGTCGGAAAAAGATAACAAGACATGTTACAAGTGATCATGCTGATACTTGAAAGGAAAAATATTGTATTTCGTATAACCTATGCTGTTGGTTTTTAGCTTTTTATGTTCAAGATCATATATCATTTCATTTTGTGACAAGGGTTGAGATCATGTAACTTTTTTTTTTTTTTTTATATATAAATCAAACAACTATTTGTTCTCTTTCTCTTCTACAAGAATCATTATATACAACCAAAGTATAACGCTGTCTGCAGACACGATAACTCTCGATAGATGGAAGACAATGGTAACAGTATTACAGGCTCATACATGTCTACATTACTGCAAAATTATCACTACCAGGATCAATTATCTGGTAGCTGCACAACGAAAGTTATATTGCGGAAACCATGATTGTGAAACTCCAAATAAAAAAGGGTTGGTTTAGACCAGCAATACCCTACATAATTCATGTCACAGCAGATAAAAGTATAACATGAAAAAAATTCAATTAACTAGCTCTGATAATGCACAAACCATAACTTGCTTCAGTTTGGAGTACAAGGTTCAATCTTTTCGACATGAACATTGCCGTCATAGTCAATTTTGTAGGAGGTGTCAAGGCCTTCCAAAATAAGGTGGTAAACAATATCTTCAGAAAAATGAACTTCCTCTTGACTGTCATCATCTTCAAGCGTTGCATTATTCATGCTGCTATTTTCAGTCTTATGAGGTCGAATCCTCTGAGATACTGATCGTATATCCCATGACAGCACTTGTTGAATTAAGTTTTGATATTCGGTAGGAGATGTATAAAGTGATATCTCGGTTTTCTTCTTCTTCTGTATTTTTCTTGACCAACAATGGTTCAGAGAGGCACAGAAGTCGTGAGAGAAGCTAACAGATGTTATAGCTAACATATTATCCGCCTTTACCCAATCGGGGACCATTGCACCAGGGATGCTATCACAGTATGGAAGATATGGCTTGATGTCAAGGACGGGAGTTCCATCAACTAAATCAACACCAGAAATGAAAACTTTATTCCCATCCACAATATCAACCTTTGCAACAGTGAGGCCTATAGGGCATGGGCGATGAGGAGATCTTGTCGCAAAGACCCCCATCCTTTCTCCTTTCAGCCTTGGTACTCTTACCTTTGCCTTGAACTTAGACCGCGATGGATGTTTCCATAACTTGTCAAGATCCGTATTCAGATGAAACACATAAATTATCCAACAATGTGAATAGCCTTCAAGACCTTCAAGAGATGCAGGTGGAACTCGAGTTGGATCAAATACTAGACATGCTTTAGCAAGTGGTACAACCAAAGGTTGCCTCGGAGTCCCATTCCTAATCACAATTATTAGTACCACAACATATTATTTACATTACCATCCATATTAACAAGCCATACAAGAAAACACAACGTTAAAAAAGAAAAAAAGGTACCTCGTGGAGAAGCATGACCGAGTGATTGCAATAGGTGCCAAAGGATATGAATTATTAGAATCATTTGAGTTGGCAACTTTCCTCAATGCCTGTTGAGCTCTAATGCGGCCTTGCCTCTCAGCACCACAGTTTTGCAATGCAGCCTTCAAAGATCTTTCCAACTCTTGTATTTTCTCCTCATCAGCCCTTGTCTTTCTTCTCCAAAACACAACACCTATAGCTGCTGCTGATGCAGAAAGAGCAGCAAGTGCTATGGAGATTGTAAGCAACTTGGTCACCGCCATGAAAAAATGACCTAGAACGAAAGACAAGCATAGATATTGATGACCTTCCTCATTTGAGAATTTATAGATAGATTAAATAGAGTTACAAGTTTATTGAATTTTATAGGAACTTTTGGCCAAAAACATCCCTTAAACTAAATCCAGTAGTATTTGCAACATCTTTTTTCTTAACAGCATAAACGAAAACACGTGACTTCCCCCCTCAATCTCTCAATTCTATCCTCCCACCCGATCATCGTACACCTTCATCGCAACTAAGGCTTCAAAAAACAACACTTTTCTCACTTCATAGAATAATCTAGACCAAAGTTAAACAAAGAAGAGATTAAAGCAAGTTATTCTCCTAAACCATAACACATGACTTCCCCCTCAATCTCCCGTTCAAAAGTACTCCTTAGAGCTGTGTTGCTCGGACTTTTCAAAAATGTCGACAGGTGCATGTTGTATCCTCCAAAGTAGTGCATTTTTATTTTTTTTGGAGGATCTAACACGAGTGCAACAACATTTTGGAGAGTCCGAGCAACATTGGCTCATAGTTGATTTATCATGGAAACAACACAACAGTGAATTCAATTTCTTTCAGGCATTTTAACAAACAGGTAAGGGGCATCTCAACACTAACCAATTAAAACACTTCTTAAGAAAGAGAAAAATTAGGAACTTTAACTTTTACCTTTGTTTCATGAAGCGCAGCTACAGCAGAGGAAAGACAAATTGTGTCAAAACCATAGCTTTTTCCAGTTTTAATGGCGTAAAAAGAGTTGAGACTGAAAGAAAAGTTCTGTTTTTTTTTTTAAGTTTTGAAAAGGGGACGAAACAGGGGAGTTTGAAGGGATAGTCACGTGCTTGGCACGTGTTTTTGTTGACCAAATGGAAGGATGATTGTTGTAAGTTGTTTGTTTCGGAGACTAAATTATCTCGGATTATAGTTGTAAGATTATAATTCTTAGATTAATTTATGGAAAAATAACCTAAATATACAATTTATTTTACCATATTCTCTAAAATTCTCTATCATTTGATTTTTTTTTATGAAAGTCCCTACTCTTTCATATTCTTGGATACATTACGATACATGATGTATCATCATTATACGCAATGTATTTGGACGTAATATATCACTATGCGGGATGTATCGGACGGATACATCACTATACGCGATGTATCATGACGTAATACATTACTTTACACGATATATCGATCAGATACATCATTATATTGAGACGTACGAGATGCATCGGGACGTTGAGTGATGTGTTCAAAAGAGAGACGCGATGTATCGGGACGTTTTGGGATATATCTGTATCCCACCAAATTTAAGGAATTTTGTAATTTGGAAAAAAATAGGGATAAAATATAATTAACTCTTGACACTATGAGATTTATGTAAAATTCTCTTAATTTATTCATTCGAGAAAAGGTGAAATAAAATAAGGGAAAATTGTACATAATGACAAACTATTAATTCAAATTAAATGGTATAACCACACTTTGATTTAATTGTGTCCTGTAGCAAACTGTTTGCTAGCGCCTCTCTCCCTCAAACTCTCGCTCGCCACTCTCCTCTCTCGCTCACTCCCTCTGTGCTTGCCTCTCTCGCTTTATACAACAGAATTGTATAAATTGTGTTTCTGTTTGTATAAAGCGAGAGATAATTGTATATACACATGCAAATACATATATATTCGTCCTATACACTTATAATTATACAATAAAAATATTCCCCTGCCCAGTTCTCTTTTGCCTTTCTCTCTTTCTCGTTTTATACAACAGAATTGTATAAATTGCGTTTCTGTTTGTATAAAGCGCGAGAAAATTATATATGTACATGCGAATACATATATATTCATCCTATACACTTATAATTATACAATAAAAATATTTCTCTGCCCAGTTTTATGTTTGTATAAAGTATAATTTATGTTTGTATAAAGCAAAAGAGAGAGTGATTTTTGATATACAAATATCTTTGTCAACGATTTATACAAACGAGAGGCTAACAACAATTTATACAAATGGTTTGCCAGCAAAATTATACAAATCTGAAGAAGAGCCAACGAGTTATACAATTGCTTCTTTTTGTATATATGTATAGCGAAATAGACAGCTTTCAATTGTATATGTATAGCGAATTATACATATATATGTTTGCTATGGAGCCCAATTATGCAAATTTTGCTATAACATACAAATATGATTTTTTTGTTTGCTATATGTGAAAGTTGCTCATAAAATAATGATGAATTTATATCATCAACCTAACCTGGCCACGAAATTTTTGTCACCTTTTTCATAATTGAACTACGACCAATTTTCAATTATCATTTTTCACTTTCAAAATAAAAACTAACTTTTTTTTCAAATTTCTCTATAAACGCCCACCAAGTGTTATGATAATGTGGCAAGTTTGGAAGGCTAGGACTCTTTGGTGCTTTAACAATGAATTGACTTAACCTCTTGAGGTCTGCGAATCTGCGTACCTAATACTCTCTCCAGAACCCACTTGTGAGATTACACCAATGAACTACACCAACAAATTGACTTAACCTCTTGAGGTTTGCGAATCTACATACATAATACTCTCCCAGACCCCACTTGTGAGATTACACGAGATATGTTGTTGCTGCATCAGATTTGGTATATATTTATGATGATTCTTAGATTCTACAGTCTGCTTGAACAATGAATAAATGACACTTGATGAAATAATAGGGAGCAAAATAGCTGATAAAATCAGCTCATCAAGTTCTTCCAATTAAAACTTTTGTGGCTTTACAGGTCTGTAAACATACAAATGTGATTGTGTAAACAGTAGTGAGCTTTCATCCAAGGATAACAAGTGTAGTGAAAATTTCTACTAGAGAGAGTAAAGCTGTAAAATTGAGTGGTGTTGATAAGAAGTTCTTTAGGAGCATCCAACTGTTTCTGGAACCCCGTTCGATCTGCAAAGAATGTGTAGTCAAAACAACAAAAAGACCAGAATCACCGGTTCTGGAGAGCTTCAATCGCCTTTTTCCACTGTTGTGCTCGGTTTTTGGCATCCTCAAATGACATAACTTTCTTTGGCTGTATGATCACAAGATGAATGCACACGGATAGCTGAAACGAGTTAGACTCCACATGTCTTGGCTAAAAGTAACAAAAACTTGAATAACAATGTAATATGCAGGGAAAGCAAAGGGACTTAACTGTACAAATCTTGAACTGTGAAGGGCTTGTGACTTGAATGCTAAGATCATTAGGATTGTCGGACCATATAATGTTTCCTTTGATTACCAACTTTGAGGGATCTACATAAATCAACTTTGGTTTATTTGTTAGGATTAGCTGAACTTTCTTGCTTGTGAGTTTCTGTAACTTTTTCACCATCGAGATCATGAGGACGGATTCACCAGGATCCAAAAATTGCTTCCTATTGATGCCATCACAAGAAACAAGTCAACATATAGTAGTTATCAAAAGGGAAGAGAGAACGAGAGCATTTGGTCCATATGGAATTATATAACTCTATTGAAAAGGTAAACAAATATGACAGCATCCGAAATATACTGGAGTGTTTTTCATTATTCAGGTCAGCAGAAGTTCATGAACCTACCATTTTGAGTCAAAGGAGTCGATTGATGCGAGCCTGGTGATACTGCTACCAGCTTCAGAAATTGATGCAGCAGCACCGTTTCCATCGTTAGGTCTAACTGAACCATCTCCAATGTGTGATGGATTCCATGAAGGATCTTGCTCATCACCACTGCTATGAGTTGACGGGACCTGAATGATTCATAACTAGAACTGTTTAACTGGAAAAGAACTATCTATTGGGGCAAGTAAGACCTAAAACATAAAGCAAAATGAATGACATACTTTTGGCTCCATGGCAAGCCTTGGAGGGGTCTGCGACCTCAAATTCTCCCAATCGATCCCACTAAAGAAAGGATGATTTTTCAAGGAAGCATAACCATCGGGTCCAGCACCAGGTCTTCTGCTAGGATCAATATCCTGAGTTGTTTTTTTGCACTTAAGTCAATCAGCAGAACAGATAACACTAATAGGAAGATATATCTAACATACTAACATACATACTCCATTATTTTCATGGATTATTCATTACTGTATGTCCTTCTCAAACCTGCTTTGATATGGCTTTACTTGAGTCAAGCATCTATCGGAAACAACCTATCTACCTTACCTTCACAAGGCAGGGTTAAGGTCTGCGTAACACCACCCTCCCCAGACTCTGGGTATGTTGTTTGTTGTAGTAAATGTAGTGATTGGGCCAGCTAGCGTGCACCTAGACTAATTCCACCCTCTACCTCCCGCCAGGACAGTTACCTGGTAACTCTGTCCACCAAGGCTTAGACAGATGAAAGAAAACACCTAGTGTTTTTGCCTCAGCTGAGAATTGAATCCAAGACTTCATGGTTCTCAGCCTATTTCATTGATCACAAGGTCACACCCTTGCATTCACCAACCTAAAGTTCTATAACCTGAAACTTCATCGGAACTAGTGAAAGAAAATGTAACACGTTGCTCACATTAGCACAAAAGTCCCACAATATACAAACAACTTTCTTTTCCACTACTGGATAATAATTAATAGCTGCAAGTAACAAAAAATTATAACCAGCAAAACTGCACTTGCAAGCCAGCCCATGGAGGACAAAGCTTCTGCCTCTATATTTTGAAATTTGAATGTTAAAAACTATATACTATAACCTATTAGAAAGAACTAAGTTGTCGAAGTCTCGAAGATTGTTGAAAAAATTCATCCTCTCTATGTAAGAAGTTGAAAAATATGAAAGGTCTATGTCATGTAAGCATTGCAGCTTTGGTGGTATTTCAACACCCAGAATTTTTTGTAATGATATTACATAGTATATAACTCTCTAAACTGCATGACAGTCATGCTGTACAGTGCAGACAAAACAAGATACAATAAGTACGTCAGAGATTAATCATTTCCAAAAGGACTACTTAAGAAGCGGAAGTTACATTTTTCCAATGCACTTTT